AAGTTTTGTGTTTTTGTCTTTGACGATTTACCCCTTTGTCTTCTCTTTCAGATGAATGGTTTGACGCTGTCATTTTCTTGTCTTTTTCCCCTTTATTTGCCTTATCTACCTTTTCTATCCTACTTCCTGGTAAATTTTCTTTGTCCTCATCTTTCTTCCTTACTATTACCTTTTTATGTGTTGTCATCTTTTTTCATTCCTAAGAGCTCTTGTGTATGTGTGTGTTTTTTTAATCCTCACCTGAGGATATTTTTTCCATTGATTTTTAGGGAGGGAGGGAGAGTGAAAGAGAAACAGACAGAGAAACATTGATGTGAGAGAGAGACAGATCGGTTGCCTCCCACATGCGCCCTGGCCATGTGCCCTTGATCGGGAAAGGGACCCGTGGACATGCGGTAAGCTGGACTGTCACTCTAACCATTGGACAACACCAGCCAGGGCCTCTTGTGTGTTCCTTTCTCCTTTAATAGCACCCTGCTCTGTGTCATGCATGCAGCATGTCCGTTCATCTCAGGATAATGAGTTTTCTGTAGGTTTCTTTTTACTCTGCATTGTCTCTACTTCCTCCAAGTATTTTTCTTTCACTTGATTTGTAAAAAATAATAAAGAAGGAGCACAGAATTAATAAAAACAAATGAGGACTGCATGACTGGAGGTGCTCTCACTGGGTCCTCACAGCTCCTCCGTGTTGTGCGGTTGTGCATCCCTGCCTTGGCTCCAGGGCGGCGATCACAGTTCAGTGTGCGCAGCTGCAGGTGAGAGCGTGCAGACAGCCATGGGCTGTGGAGCTGCTGAGGAAAGCCAAGGGTGACAGCAGTGCTACCTTCCTGTTTGTACCTGAGTGAGTGAGGCTCGGAGGGGTGGGTGATGGGAAAGGCCAGGGTCCTGCAGCCAAGCAGAGGTCGGGCAGGGACGAGGAGCTGGCTCTGACTCCAACCTGTGCTTCAGCCTCTCTCCTCCTGGGCCCATTTGGGGGAGGCTGTGGGTTGGCAGGACACAACGTGTCTTTGAACAATTGCTGTCTTCAGTCAGGCAAGGGAGGGCATGTGTGGGAGACTGGCGAAGTCACCTTCTGGAATGCGTAGTTACAGCTAATCTTTGTCACCCCTCACTCCCAGCCTCACCTCCTCCTTCCTGCCAAACCGCGCCTAGCTGGGCAGCTGGGATTTAACCCCTGCCTGGGAAAGGCGGCCTTCTGTTTGTCGCTCCTTAGAGCTGTGCTTATACATTTGGCTGACTGACCCTATGGAACAGGTTTTCCACCCACTCACCTTTCTGGCTTGCCCAGTCAGGTCTTTTTATTCCATCTGGCCACCTGTGTCTGTGTGGACATGGGCTCTCTGTGCTCCAGCCAGGACTTGCTTTGTACTACCGGGCTACCCCCTTGCTCTCCAGCCTTTGGCCACGCTGTGATCTGTTCTTGGAATAGCCTTCTCCTAGTTTCTGGAAAACTCCTATTCATCCCCCACAACTGTGCCTAAACATGAGGCTTCCAAGATTTTTCCATTCTCAGCCTCTTGTGAGTTCCCTGGTTGGAGCACTTTCCCCATTATATTGTAACTAGAGGTCCGGTGCATGAAATGCGTGCAAGGGGCTCGGCCCTCGCAGCCCCAACTTCGTCAGGAAGGTCATCCGGACGGTCGTTTGGCTGTTTGGTCTCATTAGCATATTACCTCTTTATTATATAGGATATTTGTTCATATGCTTGTGGTACCTACTGAACAGAACTTCTCTATTGTCTGGCTCCAGCATCTAGCTGGCATGTATAGGAGGAGCTCAGTGGATATGTGTCAGAGGACGAGTCAGGGCATTCATTGATGAAATGGCCCAGCGTCTGGGTAGCTCCATGAAAGAAACACCTGGGAACTCCCATTTAATTCGGGAGAAATTCATTTTTCCTTAAAATTTTTTTTATCTGACGTCTTATTATGAGTTTTTTCAAACATACAGTAAAATTGAAATGATTTTACAATGTACCCCTATACCTGCCACTTAGATTATATCATTAATGTTTTATTCTTCTTGCTTTATGACATATACCTATTCATCTACTAATCTATTAATCATTCATCCATTCTCATTCTTCTATCCTTCTATTGCTCCTCTTATAATTTGATAAATTTCAAAGTAAATGGCAGACATCAGTATGCTTCCTCCTAACTACTTCAAAATGCATACTGCCTTTTTAGCATTTTAAGCTAAAGCCATGTTCCTTGTCCAGAAATCTGAGGTTGAAGTAATAAATATCCATTCTTTGTAATAATAATTATAATTGGAATATACTTATAATGTACAGTGATTTTCTTTCCCTTTTTAAAAATATTTTTATTGATTTCAGAGAGGAAAGAAGAGGGAGAGAAAGAGAGAGATATAGAAACATCAATAGTGAGAAAAAATCATTGATTGGCTGCCTCCTGCACACTCCTACTAGGGATCGAATCTGCAACCGGGCATGTGCCTTGACCGGGAATTGAACCATGACCTCTTGGTTCACAGGTTAACACTCAACCACTGGGCTGTATAATGACTTTGTATGTCTTTACTGACATAGTAACTTTAAAAGGTAGGTATTACACACAGTGTTTTTCAGTTGAGACAAATGAATTTGGAGAGAGAAAGTGTTTTCCTAAAGTCACTGCTAGTCAGTGGCATTTGTGCATCTGGTCTCCAAAAATCAGTTGAGCACTTACTATCTGCCGGGCAAACCCTGCCTCCTGGGACATTGCAAAAGAGAACCAGGTAGCTGTTTGGCCCCACACTGGCTCCCAGCTTCCTGGGGACGGCACTCAGCCCCCTTTCTGCAGTTACAGGGCAGCGTGAGAAGCAGGATGGGGGCAGACGGGACCCAAGACCTCTCTTCATTAAGAACACTTTCCCCGACTTTCTGGAGGATGAGAACAGGAAGCTAAGGCAGAGACAGGGGAGGCTAAGGCAAAGCCAGCCTTCACCATGACCGTCTTCATGTCCTCAGCCCACCTGCCCTCACCTGGTCACTTCCTTTTACCTCCTGGGCCTGTGCCTGCTGCTACGGTGGAAGTTAGTCAGGAAATGGGGACTCTTAGGAAGTTCAGCACAGAGTTCCTGCTTCCTGCAATCCCCACGACGCATTTATTACTGAACACAGAAGTCTGGTGATTACCATGGAGACAGCATGGCGCCAGGGAAAGGCAGGCCTTAGCTCCAAGGCAAGGCCATCATTTTGCCCACTCTTCCTCCTTTCCCTCCCTCCCCTCCTTCCTTCTTTCTCACCTATCTTCCTTCCTTTATTTTTGGCGGGGGTAGACACTTGAGCGTGTTTCTGGGCTGATGGGTTGGGCTAAATGATCTTTCAGGTGCTAGGATTCTGTATTTGAAGTTCTGACAAAGCAACTTGGGGGCTCTGATGAGCTGAAATGGATGCAAAGTAGAGGAATCTCCTCCTTAGAAATAGGCTGCTTTGATAGAAAAGCTCCAGAGGTCAATTTTGGCCCCTCACCCCGTGTAGGCTCTCGGTACTGGTTCATCCCCTGTGGGCACCCTCCCTGGATGGGGGGGGGGGGGGGGCGGGGGCGCGCGCACTCCCTTCCACAGGACCAGTTCCATTTTCTTTTTCCCCTCTTTCTTTTTAAAGGGAAAGGATCACACCTTTTACTAAGGGGAAGTGCCTTACCACTGTGGATTATAATTCGGATGCTACTCCTTGAAGCCACATGTGAAGGACAGCCTGCGGTGACCAGAGGGCCCAAAGGACTGAAGACAAATCTGGGGACCGGAGGGTGGAAGTGGGGATGGAGGGGCCTTGGAGAGAGGACACTTGGGAATGCCGGGGAGCGGGGAGAGATGTGGTGGTGGGGTCACTTCTGTCGGAGACAACTCCCTGGGACATCTGGAGCCAGGTATCTTTTGATATGAGAGCTCAGTTATCCTGAGAATTCAAACTGGCCAGTGACATGGACATGGGAGCCAGACAGCAGATGGACCGAAGGGGTGGCATACGGTGGGCACTTTTGGGACCCCTTCTATTCTAAAGCCGAAGTGCTCGACTCCCTGTTCATTAAATTCCAAGAGGCGGTGGAGTGTGCGTGTGTCATAAGGCAGCTCTAGGTCCCCAGCAGGAGTACTCCGTCTCCATCCATTTTGTAAGCGAGGAAATAGTCCTCACAGGGTTCACTTGCCAAAATTTGTTAGATCACAACCTGGTGACCAAGCCAGGACTGTAGCCCAGAGCTCCTGACAACCAGGTCTGGTGCCTTAAAAAAGATACTCCCCCTCCCCCTGCCCTAGCCGGGTTGGCTCAGTGGCTGGAGCGTCAGCCGGGAATTGAGCTTGCAACTGGTGTACATGCCCTTGACCGGAATTGAACCCACAACCCTTTAGTCCATGGGCCGAGGGAGGTAACCAATTGATGTGTCTCTTACATTGATGTTTCTCTCTGTCTCTCCCCCTCCCTTCCACACTCTAAAAATCAGCAGAAAATATCCTTAGGTGAGGACAAATAAAAAAAAAAAAAGATAAAAAAGAGAAAGAACTCATGAATATGGACAACAGTATGGTGATTGCAGGGAGGGAGAGGTAGGTGAGGTGAAAGAGGGTATGGGGGGATAAATGGTGATGGAAAAAGAAAACAAAAATAAAGGAAAAAGAAAAACTTGAGAAACTATTCTCATGCTCAGAATGATTCAGAATTAGTATATTTTTTAAAAAGATACCCCTCCCCCATCTGGTCGCCCATCGCCTCACCTGGACTCTCCCCTGCTCCCCCCCCTTCCCCCTGCAGTCTGCTCTCCACCTGGTGGATGGGAGGTCCTATTAACACCCACACCAGTTCACACTGTGACAAGGACAGAAAGTCACCCATGAGCCCACTGCCCTAATGAGCATGGCATGCCCCTCATGTTCTGCCAGTCCTCGCTCAGGGGCACGCAGGTCCAGAGGGAAACGGGCCCAGTGGGTGGCAGAGCCTGCACTTGAGCCAGGTCTGACTCCACATCGGGGTCCCCAGAGCAAGAAACAACAAAGGCGACTTTCCAGGTCACACTTTTATTTTTACAGAAGCGGCGGCCACACAGCCGCAGGGACACGAAGTATTCTGGACAGTAGTAGGCACCGCGCCTGCCGTGCGAGAGCCTGCCAGGGAGACTCATGCCTCTCTCCTCCGGCCCCGCGACCAAGGAGGGAAAAATATCACACACACACACCCCCTCCCTTTTAGCAACACCCCATTAAATTATACATCCGCCCAGCCGAAGAAACTGGCTGTAAGTGATTTTACAGGAAACCTTCATGCAGCCATGAAACTCATGGCCCTGGAGGGAGGGGCCTGTCCTTTTACTTTCTACACACTGGCCCCCAGTGCGAAGTTCAACGCCATCTGGAACCAGCACACGGACGGACAGTGGTGGACTGGCTACGAGAAAGCTGGTAGCTCACCATGCTTGGAAGACTGCCCTTTCCAGGCAACATGTTATTGGAGTAAAACATTAACATGAGGCTGGTGCAATCCCAAGACCTTCCCTGCCCAGCCCCAGTTCCGGGTGAGGTCTGTGGACAGGATTTGGTTTGTGGGACTAAAAACAAGAGGCTGCCGGCATCTCTGGCCACATTCCCAGTGGCATGTGGATGGAGTCTCACTGGTGAAATGATGGGCGAGCCTTAGCTGTTGGGTTAATCTGCCCAGGTTAACCATTCCTCTACAGCAAGTAGGATCATCAGTTGAACCTGGAGCACATGGGCCCGCTGAGAGCTAATGCCAGAATTCACGTACTTTGCATACAAGCTAGAGAACGGGGTTTTTATGTTTTCCCTATGCCCCCTCCCAGAGGCCAAAGGGGAAGGGAGTTCCTTTGTCTTCTGAGTGCCATGCGTGCACCCAGCACTCACAGGACCACGCTCAGGTACTTTGCAGTGTGCCAAGCCCTGGGGGGCGGGTGTGTGTGTGTGTGTATGTGAGCATCTGTCAGTCAAAGCGCGACTCTGAGGACTCTGGCAACCTACAGTGACAAGACCAACACTTCCTGCAAGCCTCTCTGAAAATGAGATGAGAGCCGGCCTTGGGCTGAAGGAAGGACCGGAAATGACAGACCACCCCCAAGGGTCCACTTGTTCATTTATTTTTCCTCTGACTTTCCACACAAATGAGGCTTTCCACGGGTTTTGCAACCACGGGGTCTGAGAGAGCCATGCACTTCTATAGCAGAATGGCCCCCAGGGAACGAGGACAAACTAGTTCAGAGGAACAAAGGACTTGCCCACAGCTGCACAGCACACTGACCATACACCAGGGGCTGAAACCCAGGCCTCCCGACTCCTGCTGCAGCATGTGCTCAGCTCTCTCAGATGCCACTGCCTGGCACGGCTCACTCAACTCCAGCTTCGCTCACAGGGCACAATTCCTCCTCAGATTCTGGGTCTCTAGCTGAGGCTGGGCAGGTCTTAAGATGGAGTTGCATAAACAACCAAGTTTTAGTCAGTGGGGGAGGACCTAGGGAGGGTCCCTTCCCTCTGGAACGGAAAGGAGCTAGCTTTTCTCTGAGCTTAGGATTTGTAAGGCACTGAAATTAACTACAGCTGGGGGTGGGGGTGGGGGGGGCGGGAGAAACCAAGGGGATGAGTGGTTGGAGAAATCAAGGTGACGCTCTACTCCTTCAGCCCCACAGTGAGGACCACATGGAACCTGACGATGGCGGGCTCCACTTTCCTGCGAGCGTGGTCCACCCCACCCCCGATACCAGAGTAACGCAGACGCACCCCCCACAGCTAAGCAGGTGCTGGGGATAAGAGGCATGGGGGCTGGGAAGCAAAGAATGAGCCCAGACCCTCTGGATCCAATTCAGGGCAGAAGCCACTCCTTCCACCTGTGCCGGAATCCCAGGCTTAGGCCGGGGTAGGATTCACCCTGAAATGTCTTCCCCAGGGACATGGTCCACTAGGAGTAGACTCGGTGATGGCCGGGGGGCATGCAAGCCTGAGCGTGAAGGAGGGAGGGGCAGGATCACCAAGGAGGCAGAGAAAACTTTGGGATCAGACCTGGCTTTGGCACAGCACTTCTTGGGCCTGCCGGCCCATCTGTTGCCCTCCTGAGACCCCAGGGATGGAGAGGAACCTTCCTTCTCCCGTGAGGAGCAATTCTAGCTGACTGAAGCAATAGCGGTGCAACTCCAGGGCAATCTTACATCATTCCAGCCACGCCTGTGCCCAGGTGACCCAACATGGAGCTCTCGGGACTCAACCACTGAACCCGGAGCACTTCAGTCAGATGTGATGCTGAATGGGAAGCAATGACAGCTACCACAGCCTGTAGGCAGATACTGTTACCCTCTGTCAACAGATGAAGAGCCAGGATCAGAGGGGCTGAGTGACTCACTCAGAGTCACACAGCAAATGAGTGGCTGAACGGGAATTATACTCAGGTTTACCTGATTCCATATCCCAAGTCCTTCCCACTCCACTGGGCGGCCCCTGGAAGCTGGGAGTGGTCGGTCGGGGCTGTCTGCGTGGGATTTCTGGAGGGGTTTGCTTCTGGAAGTGTGGATCTGGGAGAGCAGCCAAGTTTGAGTGAAGGGAAGATGCCTGCTGGCCCCGGGGGCAGGGCCCACCACACGTGTCTCTCTGCGGGCGGACTCCGGCTCAGTGCCTGGCGGCCTTGCAGATCTTGTCGTACACCTCGGGGAAGGCGTCCTGGCAATTGAGCTGCTCCCGCAGCTTGTGGTACAGGGAGCCGTCAAACATCTCCCAGAACTCCTCGCGGTTCATGTAGCAGTCGGCGTACAGCATCTGGAACCTGCAGAACAGAGATGAGGGTGAGGACAGGGAGGCGATGGCAGTGGGACAGGGAGGGGAAGCGGATGAGGGAACCCCAACCGCTCTTCTGTGGCTCGCACTTTGCAGGCAGGAAGCGCTTTTGGATTTCCCTTGTTTAATCCCCTCATGACCTAGCAGTGCAGGGTGGTGCGGGAATTCTAATCCCCATTTTGCAGATGGGAAATCGAGGCTCAGGGTGTTAAGTGGCTTGGCAGTGGAGGCAGAGTGAGGAGAACTCGGACTGCGGGCTTCCCCCGTGCTCGGTGCACCACACGGGCTCCCTGGTCGGCCGCTGACTGCGCTCTCTGCGCTTTTTCACTGATGTTCCATAAACTGCGCATATTGGAAGTGTACCACTTGCTAAGTCTGACTTATGTATACAAACGAGAAACCATCACCTCGGTCGAGATAATGACCGCCCCCCCCCCCCCCCCCCCCCCCCCCCCCGCAAGGGGTCACTGCTGTCTACCATCCAGGGGTCTGGAATTTTATATAAATGGAAACACCGGCACTCCTTTTTCCTGGCTTCTTTCACAGTTACCCTGCGGTCTGTCCGTGTCGTGTAGGTCAGGAGCTTGCTCCAGGCTCTGACCCAGCCTCTGTGTAGCCTTCAGTCACGAATTCCTCCCTCCTTAGCTTAGCTTTGGTTTCCTAACCCGGAGCGGCAGCCCCTGAACACATGGGAGACCCCCATCATCTGCCCCAGGGCGAGAGCGGATGCAGAGAGAAGAGGGGCAGGAGCCCGGCACCCCCGCCTCACCTTTCACAAGGTCGGCCGCCTCAGTGAGTGACAGTCCCGCAGCGACCAGCTGGTCCCGCCCCAGAGCTGGCCGCCTGGGCCCTTCCCCCACGCCCCTGCAGCAGTCCCCTGGGGCAGGCGGCCAAAGGGACTGTGCCGCGCTCTGAGCCACTCACCCATGCACGCTGCGGACGAACTTCTCCAACTGCCTCATGCAGGACCTGGCTTCAAAGTGCTTCACACGTGGCTCCCCGTAAGCCCCAATGTCCACGTAGAGCTCGGTCTCGTCTCCCTTGGGGTGCACCAGGCCAGGCTGGCTGGGCAGGATGAACGGGCACAGCCAGATGGGGTAGACCTGGGTGGGCCAGGCAGGAGGGTATTGGTGCTCTCTCTCCAACAGGTGACACGCTCATAGCTGGCCCACACCACCCCGACCTAAATGGAGGCCCTGCAGCACTGTCCAGGGGACCCTCCTCTGGCTGCTCACAGCTTCATCCCACCCCCAAGACTGGGCTGGGAGCACCCAACTCCCCCACAGTAGAGGGCACAATCTGAGCAGCTCATGGCGTGCTCGTCGCTGGGCCCTACTACTTCTCTCCCATCAGGGCCATGGCTGAGCAGGTCCATTTTGCAGTTGGGGACACTGAGGCTCAGAGGGCAGGCATGGGCAGTCCCACGGTTCAGGGAGACCATGGGTTCCACGGGATGGCTCTTGGCCCGCCCTTCCCTGCCTCAGCTCACGTGGATGTCGTTGTGGAAGGTGTGCAGGGCCTGCATCATGCACTTCATGGGCACCAGCATGTCCTGCACCACGTGGTGCTGCTCGTACAGCTTGCGTAGGGTCTCGCCCTGGGTCAGCTTCAGGAGGGAGATCTTGGGAGGCACCATCCATCCAAAGAGGTAGCGGAAGATGGGGTTGTTGCCGAAGGGAATGATGTCCTGAAAGACAGAGTTTGAAGATGGAGAGAAGGAACCAACCGGGGCCAGGAGCCAGGCCCTCGTTCAGTGCTCAACATGTATGACAGGGTCCGCCCCTCCTATTTGGAGGGGCATAGTGGAACCCAGGATTTACCCAGTTGGATTAGGGTTTGATTCTCAGCTCTGGCATTGACCAGCTGGGATGACCTTGGGATGTCACTTAACTTCTCTGAACTCAGTTTCCTTATCTGTAAAATGGGACTTATAAGAATAGTGATATACCAAATGCAAGGCACTCAGCCCAGTGCCTGGAACAAAATAAGGTAAGGCAGCTATGACTGCTTTCCTAGTTGCTGAGGTCAGAGGCTGGCACAGAGCAAACATCCATGAGCGTTTGAGAGAAAAATGTTGTTGAGTGTGAAGAGGAATCTTCAGAGAGCTTAAGCAATTTCTTTTCTTTTAAAAAATTTATTGAGAGAGAAACATCAATTTGTTGTTCTACTTATTTATGCATTCATCGGTTGCTTCTTTTATGTGCCCTGACCGGGTATCCAACCTGCAACTTTGGTGTATGGGATGACACTCTAACCAACTGAACCTCCCGGCCAGGGCCTTAAGCCACTTTCCTAAGGTCACACATCCAGGACAGCTCTCACTGCGGTGGGCAAGGTCTGGCTCAGGTTCAGTAATGAGCCCACTGGTTTACAGCATCTCCTGGGAGTCTCCTGGGACAAATCTGGCCCACCCTCTGGTTTTGTAAATAAAGTTTTATTGGAACACAACCATGCCCATTTATTTACACACTGTCTATGGCTCCTTTAAGGCTGTAAGGGCAGAGTTGCTCCTAGAGAGACCTCATGGTCCATAAAGCAAAACTCCTACCTGGCCCTTTACAGAGAATGTTTGCTGACCTCTGCTCTACTGTATGGATGTGGCCTCATTTATTTAATCAGTTCTGTACTGACGGGCGTGTAGGTCATTTTCTGAGCATTCCAATGAGTGTCCTTGTGTGCATGTGCCCTTGGCCATTTACATGTCTGTTTACCTGCAAGATAAATTCCTAGAAGTGGAAAATTCTGCTTCAGACAGTGTATGCAATTTTAATGGGTTCTATTTTAAGAGCCTGCAGCATTTTATACTCTCCCCGACAACGTAGGAGACGCAGTTTCCCACACCCTGGCCAGCATGCGTGTTATCAAACTTGGGCATCTCTCATTCGTAGAGGCAGAAAATGTGAGACTCCTGTAGTCTTGTTTCACCTGCCTTTAGTTCCAAGTGAGACTGCATCACTTTTTTTATGTTTAAAAACCATTTATATATTTTCCCCCTAAAAATAGTCCATTGTTAGCCAAAAGTTATCAGCTGGAACCACTCCTTTTCCAAAGCCTCAACCTCACAAAGTTCAAGTTTAAACACTGTGCCCGGCCCCTCTTTCCTGCCTCTGTCTAGCCCCTGATCCGTCCTTCTACCTCGTATGACCCCGGGTCCCATGGCCCTGGCTTCACTCCTGGTCCTGTGCCACCAGCACACCTTGGTCAGTCACTGCAGGGACCCTCACCACAGTCTCTTCCCTCCTGGGCCTCAGCCTCCCAGCTGCCCTGGGCTTTTACCTGTGTCCAGCCCCTACTGGCCTCCTTGCTCTGCTGGGCTGTAGGCCCCACCACAGGTACGGGTCCAGTGGGCCCAGCCTGACCCAGGATCTCAACCCCAGGGGCAGCCCCTGTGACAATGGCCTTCAAGAAACACGAACAACCTATCTACCCGTCCTTACTTCCCTGTATCAGCCAACCACCTACACTGCTGAACACGAGGACAGCAAAGGAAGGGAAGGACAGGGCCCAGGGCCCCTTTGCTTTCAGTCCTTCCTTCCTCACCAGTCGCTAAGGTGAGATGTTAGAAGAATGTGAATGTTATCAAGAAGGGAAATAAGATTTAAATGTTTAACTTTTATTTATTGAAAATAACATGAAATAGCAAATCCTATATAATAAAAGGCTAATATGCAAATCAACCGAATGGTGAAACGACCCGGGCACTATGACACACACTGACCACTAGGGGGCAGATGCTCAATGCAGGAGCTGCCCCCTGGCAGTCAGTGTGCCAGAAGCCGGGCTCACAGCTGGCGAGCGCAGTGGCGGTGGCGCCACCGAAGCAGCCCTAAGGGTGTCCGACTGATGGCTTAGGCCCATAGGGAGCGGGCCTAAGCCGGCAGTCAGACATTCCCCCGAGGGCTCCTGGACTGTGAGAGGGCACAGGCCAGGATGAGGGACACCTCCCCCCCCCCCCCCCGAGTGCATGAATTTCATGCACCGGGCCTCTAGTATCTATGATAAGAGAGAGACCATGGAAGAAAGGAAGAAACATAATTTAAAACCTTTGATGGTACTTTTTCCCTGCTTTCTACAGAGTCCTGAAAATTATGCAGCTAGTTAGCCCTGACCCCAAATATTGCTGACTGACTCTGGGTGAGAGGAAGGAACTGGACCAGCCAGGCATGGCCCAGGTGTGCCGGGAATGCAGGGATCACCCGGAATGCTGATCACTCCCACACTGGTATGTGCCACCTCACCTCTGCCCTGGAGTCCTGATGTGGAGCCAGCTGCCCACTCGCTGCCCTACCTAGATGTCTGAAAGGATCTCAAACTGACATCCCCAGACCAATCTTCCCATTTCTCTTCCCAGACCTCTCCCCGTGTTGCCCAAGGCAGTCAATGGCACCTCCAGCCTCCCAGTGGCTTGGGCCTCTAACCTTGGAATCATACTCAGGGCCAATACGTCTGGAAGGGGTTAGCCCACCTTCACAGACTCCCCCAATCTGACATATTTTTCCTCCTCCCCTGTACCACCCCGGACAACAGAAATCTTTCTTCTACTCTTCCACTCTTGTCACCCTCCCCGCCCCCCATCTACCCTCCATCTAGTGGTCAAAGTTATTATTTTAAAACAACAATCAGGTCAAAGCACTTTTCTGTGCAAAACCCTCCGCCAGTTTCCTATCATACTGTAGTAAAATATAAAGTCCTTCCTTGATCTATAAAGACACGCATGATCTAGGCTCTGGCTGCTGTGCGACCTCATTTTCCACCAGGGTTCTAGCTCAGGGGCTTTCGTGCTGTTTTTTAAAAGCAGGCAACCCGCTATGACAACTGGATAACCATATATCTTCCACCATATAAAAACTGAACTTTGCCCGGCCAGTGTGGCTAAACCAGGAGGTCCTGGTTCGATTAACGGTCAGGGCACATGCCCAGTTTGTGGGCTCGATCCCAAGTGTGGTGTGTGCAGGAGGCAGCCAATCGATGATGTTTCTCTCTCAGTGATGTTTCTTTAAAAAATATATTTTATTGATTTTTACAGAGAGGGAGGGAGAGGGATAGAGAGTTAGAAACATCGATGGGAGAGAAACATCGATCAGCTGCCTCCCGCACACCTCCTACTGGGGATGTGCCCGCAACCAAGGTACATGCCCTTGACCGGAATCGAACCTGGGACCTTTCAGTCCACAGGCCAACGCTCTATCCACAGAGCCAAACCAGTTAGACCTCTCAGTTATGTTTCTATCTCTCTATCCTTCTCCCCTCCTCTCTGAAATCAATAAAAATATGTTTAAAAATCAATATAAAAAAATAAAAAACTTAAAATAAATCAATAACCTAAATATCAGAGCTAAAGCTATAAGCTCTTAGAAGAACACATAGGGACAAATCTTCATAACCTTGGATTTGGCAATGGATTTTGAGATATGATACTAAAAGCACAAGTAATAAAAAATAGACACTGGACTTCATCAAAACTAAAAACTTTTGTGCATTAAAAGATATTATCAAGAAAGCGAGAAGTCAACCTGTAGAACGGGAGAAAATATTTATAAGTCATCCATCTGGTACAGTAAGGATCTAGTATTCAGAATATACAAACTCTTACAACTCAGCAACAAAGATAATGCAATTAAAAATGGGCAAAGGAACTGAATAGACACTTCTCCAAAAGAATATGCAAATAAATGGCCAATAAGAATGTGAAACATCACCCGTCAGTAGGAAAGTGCAAATCAAAATTACAATGAGATTCCATTTCACACCCACTAGGATGGATGGCTATAATCAAAACCCAGAAAATAACAAGTGTGGTGAGAAGGTAGAGAAAGTGAACACGGCTGCTGGGAGTGTGAAGTGGCTCAGCCACTGTGAAGAAAAGTTTGGCAGTTCCGCAGTAAGTTAGACACAAAGTTACCCTACGAATCAGCAATTCCACCCATAGGCATACACCCCAAAGCATGGAAACCTAATACTCAAACGAATACTTGTCTATGGATGTTCACAGCATTATCCACAATGCCAATTGGTGGAAACAATCTAAACATCCAACCACAGATGAATTTATAAACCAACTGTGGTCTACCCACACAATGGAGTATTAGCCAGCCACGAAAAGGAATGAGTACTGATACATGCTACAACATGGCTGGACCTTGAAAACATCATGCTAAGTAAAAGAAGCCAGTCACAACAAGCTACATATTGTATAATTCCATTTATATGAAATAATCTAAAACAGGTAATTTATAGGGACAGAACAGATTGACGGTTGGGAGAGGCTAGGGAAAGGAAAAAAGGGAAGCATCTAATACGTACCAGATTTCTTTTGGGGGTGATCAAATGTTTTGGAACTAGACAGAGGTGATAATTACACAATATCATGAATGTACTAAATGCTACTACACTGTATAATTTTATTTTTATTTGTTTAAATTGTATAATTTTAAATGGTTAATTTTATATGATTTCACTTCAATTAAAAGCAAAAAGGAAAAACACCCATGCAGCCCCTGAGGAACTGTGCTCACACTTTCTTTGCCTGGCGCTCTCTCCCCCAGAGCTCGGCATGGCCTGTCCTACCTACGTTCAGGTCCCTGCTCGTAGGTCATCTCCTGAGAGGCCTTCCCGGAGGCCCTTATTTAACATGTTCCTGCTCCCCAACCCTCCTCGCACAACAGCAAATTCTTGCTCACCTGTCCAGGCCAGGCTTAGGCTACCTCCAACCCTAGACTGGCCGCTTCCTCTTTACAAGGTGATGCTTGTCTGCTTGGCGAGGCTACAACTCCTCAACGACGGAACAGGTTCCCCAAATCTCCCACCCAGCACCCCATTCTCAGGTGCTCAGTGACAGCCTGTCGCTTTAAGTGAAGGTGGTCCGATCCCTCAGAAAGAAGCGGCTGTGTTGCTGTGTAAGAGGGTGTTCTGATTCCCCAGGACAAAGCCACGCTTTTCCCCCGAGGGAGAGAGTGCGGCTACCGTGTTAACTACCTACCCTGGTTCCCTGCCCAGCAGGGCGGGAGGAGCCAGGACCTGGGAAATGTGAGCCTCACCTGGAGCTCCCAGAAGATGCTGCGCGTGTGCCGGTGGTAGTAGTGTCTCAGGGGGATGTACTCCAGGCCCTCTCGGTTTGTCTTCAGGTAGTTCTCCACGTGCTTGAAGAACCAGGGCTTGTAGTAATTGCCAATGCTATTCAGCTGAAATGACAGAGGGCTTTGTGTCAGCCCACAGACAAGCACCAAGGGCCAGCAGAGTGTAACAGCGATCCCCGGCTTCTGTTCAGCGCTCCTGGCCTTTTCAAAGCTCTTTCATGTCTATTATCGCCTTTGAGACTCTTGACAGCCTGGCAAGGTTAAGCACAGCGGGAATTTGCTAGCAGCGTGGGCAGAAGCTCAAAGAGGGTAAGTGGTGTGCCCAGGCCCAACAGCTAGTTTCTGACAGTCTAGTGGGCTTGGTGACCCGTCCTCGTCTGCTGCTCCTCCTCAATGAGAAACCCAAAGCGCAAATGTTTACCAGCATCTCTCACAACGGAACGCTCCATGCCGGTGAATCCCTCCCTCCCTGCCGCCCACCAGGCGGGCGCTGGCACCAACACTGAGCACGGGCCATCTCCTCACTGGGTCCCGGGGCCAACAGCACTAATTAACCTCGGCACTTTCCCTGCCACTGGAGACCAAGCCCCGCGACCCTGAGCGCAGCGCTCGCCCCAGCAGACCATCAGTGGAGGGAGCTCACAGAGTAAACCCATGTGTTTCTCCAGCACCAGTCCCTGTGGCCCTGAGGCCAACATGGTCTGTTCAGCTGATGATTCCTTCGGTCCTAAATGGTTCAAGACTTCTGTGTGCCCAGCTTATCTGGACCCCAGCTTCCTCATCTGTGAGATGAATTAGGCAGATGCTAGTGGAGAGCAGCGGGGTGGCACCCAGAAGGAGCACAGGCTCTCAGGCACCAGCTGGGCGACCTTGGGCGGGCCACTCTCTCAGCCTATTTCTTCACGTGTAAAATGGTATTAAAAATATACACGCTGGCCCTGGCCAGCATTGCTCAGTGGCTAGAGCATCAGCCTGCACACCGAGAGGTTGCAGGTTCTCCAATTTGGTCGGGGCGCCTGTGAGAGGCAACCAATTGATGTGGCTCTCTCACATCAATGTTTCTCTCTCTCTCTCCACCCCTCCTTTCCACTCTCTAAAATCAATGGAAAAAATATCCTCCAGTGAGGATTAACAAAAAAACAAACAAAATGTGTGTATGTATATATATACTGGAAGTGTCTTTGGTGCCTATTGAAAATGATACACACACACACACACACACACACACACACACACACACACTCACTGCAGATGCTCAGGCCTCACACAGACCAGCTTCTCAGGGATGAGAGGCACCCAGTTTTACGGGGCAGGTAAGATCACACCCAGCTGGTGGGCTCAGTAGAGGGTCGGAAGTAGAGAGTGAAGGCCACTTAGGAGAGGAAGAACGTTGCCAGGGGACTATCAGGGAGGGACAGAGGCAAGAAGTGAGCCAGCCCCAGAGTAGCCACGATCTATGCAGCGTCACCGGCACATAACGAGCCTATTCCTTATCTTCTTCATGACCTTGCAGGGCGGGGCTGTCCCTGTTTCATGGATGGAACTGAGAATCTACAAGGTTGAACAGATTGTCCAAGGCCACAAGGCCACCAAGAAGCAGTCCAAGGATGCACCCCATGTTACACAAGACCAAGAACCTTGAATGGTGGACTCTGGAATGTGGGCATGGTCAAAACAAAACAAAAAGCTATTAATTTCTTTCCTGATTCTAAAAGCAACATATATCCTGTGAAAACTTGAAACACTGAAGAAATATGACTTGGGAAGACAGCTCTGTAGCCTCATCCCTGTAGCCTACTAAAACTAACGTGCATTCATTAGGTTTTATTTTCTATGTACCTACATAGATTTATAAAAGTGGGACCATTCTGCACATACTCCTACCCAATTTGTTTTTCCCCACTTGTAACACACTGGCTGGCCCTAGGTAGTTACTTAGCCTCTCTGAGCCTCATTTTCTATGCAGGCAAACTGGAGACATGACTACTCCTTGGGGTGGTTGGAAGACTAAAAGGCAATGCAGATGCCTGACCACAGTGGGGGGCACAGTATTCAGTTCCTGGTCGCCATTGGCCTTCCACTCCCACATCCCCTTGCCAACCCCCTTCACCTTGGAGCCAACCAACAGTTTGGGTGGCTGCTCTCTGGGTGTCATCCTCTCGTGCTGGCCACTCTGCTGGTAGGCCACCTTGCAGGGAGGAAACCCGGGCAACGAAATACCGGGAAACTGGGGTGACAGAGCCTGTTTGTCCAACTGTTTCTGAGAGGACAGCGTGGAGGACACCATGTGCTGGCCTCTGCCTGCTGATGGCATGGAGACTGAAGCCCCACGGGCGCATAGCAACCTGAGCTAACCCCCCGAGGGGCCTGGCCGCACTCCTAGCAGTGGCGCCAGCTGCATAATGAAATCGAGACTTGAGGGGACCTGGAGACAGGCGCTCCTCAACAGACTCATCAGGAACCCTTTGTACCAGAGAAGCCAGGTTGCTCACCTCTCCCAGGGCACACAGCTGGGGCAGCCAGGTGGCTGCCTGAGTTCCAGCTCCCACCCTGGCACTTAGATAAGCCACTTCCTGTCCCTGGGCCTCCTCTGTGAAAGGGAGGCGGGCTGCCTCCTCCCAGGGCCACAGTGAGACTCCACAGCACAATGCCTGCAGGGGGCCTAGCGCAGTGCTCGGCACACAGGGACACGTTCTTGAGCAGCCTCCCACAGAAATATTTGGAAGAACTGTTCCTCAAAGGAAATGTCCACACATCTGATGGCAGCTCTCACTCTCCCCTCCCAGCCCTCTTCCCACTGGGCTTCAAGGTCTTGCTCACAGGACACTTGGCCAGAGGCTATGGCCTGGGGCCCCAGCCCCTCTGCCAATGACACCAGACGGGCCTCTGGGGAAGGTCTCGGTCTTCTCCTTGGGAAAAGGGGTCCGGGTACGCAAACATTTTAAAAGTTGTACAAACCCCTCTGCCCAATTATCGGCTTAGGTGGCATCAAACAGATGACAGAAGAGCTGGTACAGTGGGGGTGGGGTTCCCCATGGCCCCTCCCTCAGAGTCTCACCACTGGCAGCCTTCAAGGGAAAGCTCCAGAGAAGCTGGGCAACCCCTGAGCTAGACGGCCTCGCCAGATGGCGAGGTCACACATGCGGACAGGGCTCGGCCTCGGAAGCACCATGGGCACTGGGGCTCCGTGTCTGGTGTTTCCACTCCTGGTCCAGGCTCTCCACCGTCAGTGCTCACCAGTGTCCCACGAGGAACAGTGCTCAACCAACATTTGTGGATGATGCTAAATTCTAGAAGCTGGCATGGAGGGCAAGGGACACTGAAGCAGGAGTCAGAAACCCAAATTAATAGCTGCCCTGTGCTAGCTGTGTGTCCTCAGAGGAGTCTCTTTGCCCTTCATTTCCTTATTTGGAGAGAGAATTGTACCGAATGATTTTTGAGTCTCTTGCAATTTTAAAATGTTTTAAGTACATATAGGTGTCAATCAAGCACCTTCAGAGTGTCTATCCCTCAATCTACTAATTCTACTCTAAGACAGTGTTTAAATTACAAACAGAAGATGTTCATTGCTACATTAATTTAAATAATGAAAAACTGGAAGCAGCTTGAATTTGCAACTGTGGGGCAGGGGTTTAGTAAACGACAGAGCATGCACTCGAGGCAACGTTCCACAGACATTAAATAGGACTATTTTTGAAGGCAATGTAAGAGCACGGGGAAATGCTTATCACACTAGACAAGGAAAACACATTTGAACAGGTGATCACAGCCGAAGACAAACAAAACCAAAAAACTGTGTGTGCAGAGAGATGCTCAACCTCACAAGCGACCTGAGGACGGCAAACCAAAACGAGATACTATTTTTAACCCTATCAGATTGGCAAAAGTGAGAGAGCGAAACTACCCGGTGCTGGCAGGAGGGAGGGGAAAGGCATGCTCACGGACCGCTGCTGGGAGAGGACCGGATGCTGCTGTTCTGAAGGGCTGTTTGGTCGTAGCTATCAATTAACATGCTCAAACCCTGGGGTCAGAAACTCCACTTTCTGGACTCGATTCTACAGAAGTGCTCATACAAGAGGCCAAGGACAGATGTAAGAGAATCAGTGCAACCTTATTTTTAAGAGCAAAACATTTTTAGCAATATAAATACTCATCAGTAAACAGTGAGGCAGTCAATATTTACATGCAGCAAGGGGATCCTATGAAATGAAATGAAGGCATGTATACACACACACACACACACACACACACACACACACACACAAGCGCACGCACGCACACACGAAGAAATAGGCCCTAAAGAACACACACCAAACTGTCACAAGTGGCCGTGCGCCTGAGGGTGAAGAGACATATTTTAATTTTTTTCTTTATATATTTCAACAATATTGTTATATTACCTTTTTTCATTTAGTTAACCCCCACCTGAGGAGTGGAAAGGATGGGGAGAGGCAGAGAGAAACATCGATGTGAGAGAGACACATTGATTGGTTGCCTCCCACAGGGGCCGGGGATCAAGCCTGCAGCAGAGGTACTTGCCCTTGACTGGAATCGAACCCACCACCCTTCAGTCTGCGGGCTGATGCTCTATCCATAGAACCAAACTGGCCAGGGCTGTTATACTATTTTTGTAGTTTAAAAACTTTAAAAAAAAAAGTCTATGCACCAAAAAGAGAGGAAATAAATATAACAAGCACGTTAGCAACAGCTGGCTTTGGGTCATGGTTATAGGTAGAGTCTGTTCTTTCCTACTTGCTTATACTTTCCAAGTCTCTCCTAATAAAACTCATAAAAACTCTTCTAAAAAGCTGCTATTAAAAATTACACAGTAAATTGAAGAAGTACCCATTTGGATTCGGAGGCATCCAATCAATGACTAAATTGCGGCTTTGCCACCTTGTGGCGTTTATATGACCTCTTAGAACTCGGTTTCCTCCTCTATAAAATGGGGTTGCTGTGAGGATCAAAGCTGACACTTATCAAGAGACAGGCACATATCTGGCAGGTGGTAAGGGCAGAGGAAACAGAAGCTTCTGTCACCGCCTAAGACAGCTCTGACTATAGGTCCTGCTGCCTGAACCCCAGGTGGGCTGACCCAGATTGCAGCCTTGAAGAGGGTGGCTGTGAGGCTCAGCGTGGCTCTCAGGTCAGTCCCAGCCCACCCAGGCCACCCTCCTCCCGGCCTGTCCGCAGCAGCTGATGCCCCGCCTACCTTGCTGGGCTCCACCTCGTCTGTCATGACCCCCGTCATGATGACAGCCTCGTCCAGGGAGTAGAGCAGCCCTTCCACAAAGTGGTTCTCCTGCTTCTGGGACTCGTGCTTGAACTTGTCACAGATCGCCTCCAGGCCCCGCACCGGCTCAAACCGCAGCTTGATGTACTTCTTGGCGGGAATGATGCGAATCTCCGCGGCGACCAGGAAGCCCAGGGTCCCACACGACCAGGGCACAGCGTAGAACAGGTCTGAGTTTTCTGACTGTGAGCAGAGTTAACACGTGCTGAGACCTTTAGCCTGGCCCCACATCGCAGCACGTTCAGCAGGAACACAAAGAACCTGGCCTGAACTAAACTTTTGTCACCATCTTGTGTGAACCCGCAGGCACATCACAAGCTGTGCTTTCTGGCCTCAGCTTTCCCTCTGCAGCCTCGCATGACCTTGGCCTGACACGGCCCTTTTGGGGGTGCTCATACAGAGTGCCTTCTCCCTCCTCCACCTAGGCACAGCCCCCAGACCACAGGCTACCCAGGAAGAAGCCAGGACCAGCACGGCCCAAAGACCCTAAACAGGGGGCCAAGGGCCAACCCAGGCTAAACAAAGAGCAGAACCCTTACTGAGGGTCATGGTCACCAGAGGAACATTAAAATGCCTCCCTTCTGGGCCATTATCCACATTTACAAAGCCTTTCCCAGTCCATTCGCTATGGACTCCCCCACAGCCTAGAGAGAGCATTAACACTCCAGTCAAACAGACAAGGAACATGTGTCAATGGTCACAGCCCACCCAAGCCTCCCCACTGTGAGCGCTGAGATGCCATCCAACCCCCAAGGCAGTGATTCCGCGTTCTCCCTGCAAAGCCTCATCTGCTTCCCCAAATCTGCTTCCTAACAGCATCACTTTGTTTGGGCAACTACCTTAGAGACAGTGACTTTTCAGCTGGCCATTCTAACCTGATTCTTAGATCCTAATAAAGTGCCTTTTGAAAAAGTCCAGCTTTGCCTGGGCTCTACCCAGAGGACTGCTGTGTGGTCTTTGCTGCCCTCAGTATAGCCGGTGGGGCAGGGGCTGGAGCAGGGACGCTCTGCAAGAGGCCGGCTGAAGACTCTGGAACAGCCGAAGTGGGCAACGGTCCCCACCTGGGCCACCCATTAATCCCACAGTCAGATCACAGCAGCAATTTCCAGGCGTCTGCCGCATGCGACTTTCTCCTGACAGCACATCTGTCAGACGGGAACCTGGGCCTCGGAGAAGGTAACTCACGAATGTCTGCCTCTTCTCTGTGCTGGTAATAAATAGGCCAGAAAGCAGGGCCCATCTGTTCAGGGAAATGGACGACACTGATGTGAAAGAGGCTGCTCTTGTCCAAGACCCAAGCTCCCAAGCTGGGGATCCTGCCCTGGACTCTTCTGTGAGGCCGACACGGAGGCTCCCTGAAACACCCGCTCTAAAGGCTCGCACTGCCCTCCCACCCAGGGGCCCCTTAGACAGGCCCGGGAGATCTGATTTCTCTAAAGTTCAATCCTGTCCTACTCCTGGGGATAAATGCCCTAACGTCTGTATCCCACTGTGGGCAGTAAATTATTTTTTTTATTTCTCCAAAACTACTACCTCTCTTACCGCTTTTAGTTACCCCTCACAGCATCTGACACGGAGCTTTGATTCCGAGGCCCGACTTCCCTACAGAAGTGGTATAGTGTAATGGACGGCTAAGGGCATTGACCTGGGAGCTCAATAACCTGGATTCGAACCCAGCTCTGTGCGATTTACTAGCTGTGACCTGGGGTAAGTTTATTAACCTTTCTATGCTTTACTTTCCTATCTACAAAATGTGGCTAATAATATACTTAACTCATCAAGTTGTTGAGGGATTAAAGGCCTTAATATATGTAAAGCATTTAAACAGTGTCTGAGCACATAAAGGGGCTATTTAAATCTTGGTTGTTTTTATGAATACAGACCTAGACTGAACCACGGTATTTGAGATGAAGCACCCCCAAGGCGCCACCTCCCCAGTGCCAGGCTCCTGGGTGCCCAGGGCAGGCGGGTGGGGCATCGGACTGTGAACTCACCGGAGTGCATCGCACAAAGCTGCCATCGGCCAGGACCAGCTCGTAGGCGGTGCAGATGTGCTGGAACAGGCCATACTTGTGGGACGATGACTCGATGCCCGTGCCCATGATCAAGCCCCCTGCAGAGACACACGTGTTAGCCAGGAGGAGCTGCGGGGTGTAGGGTGCGAGGGGAGGCAGGGATTGGGTAAAGGGCACTTCACTGGAGCTCATAGCACAATGATATGACCGGGCTGGCAGAATGGGCTGTCCACTTAGGGGAGATTTCCCATGCCTGTGGATCTGGAGAGTGGGGGAGAGAAGGGAGGGTCAGGTGGGAGTGTGAGGGCTTGCTCAGAGGAAGGGGACGGATAAGAGACCCTGTTAAGGGCATGCACACCCTCACCTCTGGCCAGACCCAACCTACAAACCTGTGTGCATTCATTTTCACAGGGACCTTATTGGAAAGGGGGGTTGTCTGGGTGGCAGAAAGCTGTGTCCCATGGGAACAGTTAAAGGGACTGAAGGTGTGTCCCCCGGAGAAGAGAAGGCTTTGGGGACCCCAAGTCCTCCAGAAGGAAAGAGACTAGACATATTCTGTGTGCTCCACAGGGCAGAGTTGGAGCCGTGCATATGTCACAGGGAAGCAGATTCGAGCCAGAGATTGAGAAGTGCTGCCTGAGCTTTTGAGCTGTTTAGAAATTAAATGTCAGGCGGGAGCCTCTGGAACCGGGGGGAACTTCTGTCACGGATGGAACAGTGGAGACTCCTGCACTGGAGGGAAGGGGGGCCAAGGTGCCTCAACTCTGATCCTAACACCGTCTGAGTCCTCACCCACTGTGAGGTCATCGAGCTCGGGCAACACAGGCAGGGTCCAGCCAATGGAGGTCAGCAGGGCGGTCACCTGACCCATAGTCACCAAGGGTTCCACACGGACAATCTGTTGACACAAGAAGAGAAACCCTGAGTCACAAGGAGGCTGCCAGGCCTAACGGGGGCTTCTGCATGCAGGTGTCCTGCAAACCGTCCCAAACAATCAGTGCGGACATGCCTACTCAGCCTTTACAGTGTCTTTCCTTCCAGTGAATGGGGTTTCTGGCTCTGGGTTTGCTATGGTTTAATCTTATCCTTTCAAATATCTTCACACTTAATACTTAGTCTATTTTTCTTCTAGATTACAGATTTGGAAGATCACACATGAAGAAAATAAAAGTCATCCATATCAATGCTAATACCGGAGTGTATGTCTTTTCAGTCTTTTTCCACGCATGTTTATATTGCTATTTTGTATGTTTTAATACAATGTATAGACACACAAATACACACACATTCTTATCTTACTTTTAAAATTTAACACAATATGATAACTATTGTCTGTCGTTATTAAAAACTCTCGGAAAATGTGATTATTAATGTGACATTAATATGCCATCGTGTGGACTTCAGCGAGATGAAACAAAAGGGACCAGATTTACCTTGCTGCCTGAAAACAAAGAACGGACAAAATATATAAAGCAAGAGTTTTCAACATAGTGGGCATTAGGCAATGAAGTTAATGATCGCTGAGAGGGGGAGCAGAGAGAGGGGGAACACAGGGGCCCCATGGACTCTGAGTTGAGAGCCCATAAAACTGAGGTGAATAGAATTTGCAGGACAGAGTACTGGAGAGGAAACTGTACAGAGAGAAAACTGAAGAGCTGCAAAGGGTGCCCACTGAGTATTCAACGGAGTACAGACCAGTGCATACACAAGATTACCCGAGGCTGAGGCCAGGGATCGAGCCACCAGAAAGGACAACAGGTAACAGTGCAGGGAACAGTATCTGTTCCCACGAGCTGGCTGGAAACCTCATGCTTCACACAGCATTGAGTAGGGTCCCCAGAAGGGTCTTGCCTCCCAGAGGGGAATAGCTATCCCTGGATTTAAATGCTGCTCTGACCCCACCTGAAACATCAAGACCCAACAGCATCAAACTGTTTCCTAGTAACTTAGCTATATCCCAGAACAAAGCTCAAGACAAAAATATCCAGCACCCAACAAGGTAAAATGCACAATGTCTAAAATCCAATCTAAGTTTACTAGGCTCGCAAAGGGGCAGACAAATTCAACCCACAGTGAGAAGAAAACTCATTAATCTGTTTTGACAAAATGGACCCAGATTTGACAGATATTAAAATTAGCAAACAATGGCATTAAAATAATTACTGCTGTATTCCTTATGTTCAAAAGTTAAATAAAGACATTAAAAAGATAGTAAAAAAAAAAAAAAAGACCCATATCAAACTTTTAGAAATAAAAACCACAATGTCTGAGATGAAAAATACACAGGCTGGGATTAACAGAAAATAGACATTGCAGAAGAAAAGAGCAGCAAACTTAACACACAGCAATAGAAACTATTCAAAATGAAACATTCTAGGAAGAAAAATTAAAATCAACAGTGTATCAGAGTGAGTTGTGGAACAACTTCAAGTGGCCTAATATCTGTATGATGGCAGTCCTCAAAGAGGAGAGGGTAGCAGACAGAAACATACTTGAAGAAACAACCAAATTTCCAAATTTGATGAAAATTATAATGACTCCCAAGCACAAGAATTATGAAGAAAACTATACCAGGGAATATGATAATTAAACTGCTCAAAACTAGTGATAAAGAGAAAAATCTTAAAAACAGCTGGCGGAGAAAAATCACATGTAACATACAGAGGAACAAAGATAAGGATAAGAGATTTCTTGTTGGGCTCAGCTGTGGTGGCTCAGTGGATTGAGCGTCATCCCATGGACCACGAGGTCCCGGGTTTGATTCCCAGTCAGGGCACATGCCCGGGTCTTTGGGCTCGATCCCCAGTAGGGGGCGTGCAGGAGGCAGCCAATCAATGAGTCTCTTTCATTGATGTTTCTATCTCTCTCTCTCTCCCTTCCTTTCATACAATGGAATACTACTCAGCAATAAAACAGAATGTACTTCTGACACATGCTTCAACCTGGATGAATCTCAAAATAATTATGCTGAGTGAAATAAACCAGACAAGAGTACATAATGCATGGTTCCATTTCTACAAAAGTCTAACTGCAAACAAATTTACAGTGACAAAAAGCAAGTCATTATTTGCCTAGAGATGTGAGGGAAGAGGCAGAGAGCCCGCAAAAGGGATTACCGAGGCGCAGGAAGAAACTTTTGGAGTGATTGGTATTATTCATTGTCTTGATTGTGTTAATGGTCTCACAGGTGTACACATACATGTGTCAAAATATATTATCAAATTGTACGTTATGTGTAGTTTATCATATATCAAGTATATTTCAATACAGCTATGTAGGGGGGAAAGGCACAGGAGATTATGTAATTTGGCCAAGGCCTCAAAACAAAATGCCTTCATGTGGAGATATATATATATATATATATATATATATATATATATATATATATCTATCTAATAACTCCCTACTATTGGATGTTGTGTTGTCTTGGATTAAAAATGAAACTGTGATTGAAAGAAAGGAAGAAAGAAAGCAAGCTGTGGTACAACCTTTCCCTGTGTGTCTTTGATTAAAGCTTGCTTCCTGTTTCCTTAGCCAGGTTTTAGAATAGAATTACTAGACAGGCCAAAGAGTCTGCATGTGTCTACAGCTATTAACAAGTGGGTTCCCAGAAGCCTGGGACAAGGCCCACCCTCCCAGCTACTTCCACAGCCCCTTGGTTGCCAGCATACTTCCTTACCAGCAGAGGCTAAATAGGTTCCCTCTGTCGCTCATTTTGCCCAGGATTTCCCCATCTGTCTTCCTGTGGAACTGCAGATAACCAAAGAATCCCCTTGAACCCTCAATTTGCCAACCTGTGAGATGGGGCTATAACTAATCTATTTCAAAGCTGTGAGGCTTTTGAGGCTGGCAGTGGTCAGTAGGGCCTTCTGTGATGGCCAAGGTTCTCAGTCCTATCCACTCTGGGATGCCCTTGGCTGAAATCATCTCGCTGCAAGTCACTTGGACCAGGGACAGTGCCCCGCCCACTCCCAGAGCCAGGGAACCATGCCACTCTCACCTGTTTCTTGGTGTCCACCTCCAGAATGTCCATCAGGTTGATCATAATGTTTTTGTGGGTCTTCTTGTACTTCCCAACCCGGAGCGAGACAGTGAGCCAGCCAGGGCGCCCTGTGCACATGAAGGTCTTGCTGCCTTGCTCCTTCCATTCTCGTACCTGCAACCAGGGGAAAGAGGCTGAGCTAGCTCCACCTGCATCCTCAGAGCAACTCGCAGCCCTGCTTTCAGGAAAGGGAGCTGGGAAGGCTATCTTCCCTTGTCAGCAAATATTTACAGAGCCCTTGCCTTCTTCTAGGCCCTGGGAGGCCCACCAGCCTTACCCTCTGGACTCTCCCTGGTGAGGGAGGCAGACAGGAAAGCTGAGGTGTTGCCACACCGCAAGGCAGAATGAAGAAAGAGCTAAATATAGGATCAAAGTGCTTTTTAACTCTAACTGGGAAGGTCAGGAAAGGTTTTGTATTGGTAATAGCAACCATACAAATGATAACCACCTACTGGGTCCTTGCACTGTGCCAGGCACTGTCTCATTTAATTCTTACAACAACACCAGGGGTTGGGATGATCTCCTTTTGCAAATGAGAAAACTGAGGCAAAATACCGTGTCCACGGTTATACAACCAGGGAAGGGCAGAGCCCAGATTCACAACCAGGACTATCAGACTTCTGGGAGGACAGATGGGCTTGTATTAACAGTCAACAGAGTAACAGCTAACATGTTCAGAGGCTTATGTGCCAAGCTCTGTTCTAAGCATTTGCATGGGTTAACTCAGGTATCAGTTGGAGGGGAGAGGAAGGGCAAGGAAGGACCATCAAGCCAATGGAAGGAAGAGCTTTTGCAAAACCTCTACTGTAAGTGACCAGAGCACAAAACAAGGAGAATAAACAGCCCAGGAGATGACAAGTGATCAGGAACATGGAGGAAGTGCTCCCTTCCTACTGAGATGGACAAGGTGGGAAGGGGATGGCTAGTTATTGACCATCCATTTCTTCTTTATTTGCTTCGAACACTCCCATCTTCCTTTGGCCCAGGTGATGCTGATCTCCCCCTGCCCCAGGAGGCAGGCTATGAGTCCATTCTCCTAGCCGTAGTACCCAGTTCAGGGATGGGGCCTATGACCCAAGACTGGTTCCAAGAGAGGCACCCTCGCTGTACTGGGGCTGCTACGCTGGTTGGAAGTAAGCCAGAAACTGCTGGGCCTCCACAGGGAGACAGCCTCCCTGAGAAGGAAGTCAACCCAGAGGTAGGCAGAGCCAAGAGATTGCAGATGGTTGGAAAGGTGGGGATGAGGGACCCTAGATCCAGTCATGCCCGAGCCAGTTTTACTCCTGCACTTATCAGGACCTGGGTCAATAAAATCCCTCTTTTGCTCACCAGTCTAAGCTGAGTTTTTATCACTTGCAACCAAGAGTCGGGAAGGAGATTGCATTGAAGCTGATGGGGCAAACAGCTCAACACGGGGAAGAACTTCCCTACGATCTCGGAGGCCAGGGTACCACAGGAAGTAGAGGTGTCGGAGCAGAGGGACGTTATTGAGGAAGGGATCCTGTGACTAGGGGTGAAGGAACGGCAGGCGGGATTCCATGACCAAGCAGGCCTTGCCTCTGCCCACTGCAGTCCTAGGACACAATGCAAGCTCAGAGGTGTGGGGAATGGATTGGGGGTGCTCCGTTCAAGCCGGGGTGGGCCGCAAGGTCTGAAGTGGATGTGGAAGCCATAAGCCTGAAACATGGGTTGAATAGGAGCTAACCAGAGTTCTGTCAGGGAGGCAATGCTGTGGGGAGTGGCCATGTACGTGCCAAAGAGAGGTGGTGAGGGCCCAGAACAGAGGCAACTAGTTCGGTAGCTATTACTGGCACACGCCAGGTGTGAGGCGACAGAACCAGACCTACAGGGTGGAATGGAATGGGAAAGAAAAAATGTCAGAGTTCAGGCTCTGTAAACAGCTGACCTGGGTTCCAGCCCCATTTGCCAGCTATATTATCTTGAGCACTGACTTAGTTTGAACCTCAGTTTTTCCCAGTTTTGTAGAATAGGTACAAGACCTACCAGGGTTGCTGTGAGGATTAGAAAGAATGGACACTGCAGGTCCAGGGTGGTGCTCCAGGCTGGCCAGGCCCCTTTAGTTTAAATAAACAAGAGCTCAATGGGCTGTTCTGGGCCAGGTCCCATGGGTCAGAGGTGAGTTGGCTAACAGTCCCTGCCCTCCAGGAGCACATAATCTGATGGAGGAAAGACAGTTAAACGGAGAATCTGAACACAGGGAAACAGCTATGAAAGAGGGTACAGCTGGGGAAGGAGGGTAGGCAGGGCTCTGGAGCCATGACTGTGACCGGCAAAACCCAGGGCAGCCAAGCAGAGCACTTGCAGACACTGCCCTCTCCCACTCCACCCACGGGGTTCGCTCTCCCTTGTGGGAATGCTCTGAACATCCATCTTCACATTCTTGCTGCAGCACCCAGCTCGGCGCACACAGAACATGGAGGCTGCTACACCTGTGGCGAGGCGGGTAGCAGGAAATTGAAGCTCTTTGCAACCTGACGCTAGTAAGAGAGGAACATAAGGAAGGGCAGAGGGAGCCAAGAACATGCCCAGGCCGGATGGCTATGTCAGCCCTGGAAGCAAGAAGGAGCTCGGCCCTGAGCAGCAGCAGGACAAGGCTCTGTGGGGGCCGGCACAGGGGGGGATGTACAGAAGTGCTGGAAAGTGGGCAACGGTCTTGTTCAGGAGCGAGCAGCTGGCCCAGAGCTGCAAGGCTCCTCACCTTGGCTAAGTGCTACCTTGTCACTTTGGTCCTTTATTCTAATGTGTCAAAAGCTCCTTGGTGGCACAGAGTAAACTCTAAATTGAAGTCCCCTCCATAACCCAGCTCCTGACTTTCCTCCTCCACTCCGCCTTCCTTCACACCTCTACCAGCTCCACCTCCTGCAAGCCCTCCCTCCTCAGAAATTGCTCCGGCCTGGTGATAGCTACCAGCTCATTCCCTCCCGCGCCCCCCCTCCCCCCATCTTATGATTCTTTATATTCCTCGGTATCCGCAAGTGCTCTGCACATAGTGGGAACTCCACAAACATCGTAGCAATGTTTCATTCTCCCCGGGAAGCCCCCACCATCACATTTCTGAGCTCAAATCCCCCTGGAACGTCATCTCCTCGTGCGGTCTGGGCTCCCCCTGCACCGCAGAACACTCCGCGCCTCGCGACCGGCGGAGCACGCACACCGCTCCATCCCTCGGGCCGGGGCGGACCCCGCCCGGGAGTGCTCACCTGCTTCTGGATGTCCCGCACACGCTGCCCATGGAGGCGCGGTGCGCTGTTGAGCCTGAACACCACCCAGGCGCGCACGTAGTAGTAGATGTCAAAGATGAGCGAGAGCGGCAGCAGGAAGAGACACACGAACACCCAGCGCTGGTGGATGAGCACGAACTCCAGCCCCTTCACGCGGATCCAGAGCAGGAAGAGCAGCGCGCACACGGCCAACGACACGGCGGGCTCCATGGTGGGGCCGACGGCGCGCCGCGCGGGGGAGGGGGTACCGGCTCGCGTCGCCGATCACCGCCACCCGCCCAGTGCCCGCCTGCGCCCGTCGCCGGCTCCTAAAGAGGGGAGGGGGGGGTCGCTTCGCTGCCTCGCGATTGGCTCGGGTCTCAAAGGTTCGGTGGGCCGAGACTCGGGTGGCGACCAATGGCGAGCCGCGCGGGAGATCGGACCAGGAACCCGCTGCTTTTATTGGCGGAGGGAGTCAGGCCGCTCCACCCTCTTTGCGCCGACGCGCGGGGAGGGGTTGGTGGGGGGCCCAGACGCTGGCGGGTCGACTGTGCTCAGCGTGGCGGGTGTCGCGGGGGCACGAACGGCGGGATTGGGGCTTCCAGCCTTGGAGGCTGCGGGGACCGCTCCTTAGCCGCCGGGCGCGGCTGCTTCCTTCCCCATCTCCTTAGGTGGCGCCTTCGCGAGGGGCGGGCGAAGCGGTCACGCCTTGGGTTACCTTCCGAGGGGAGGGCTGGGTGGGGCGCCCCACGGCCCTGGCTAAATCGCCCTGCAGCTGGGGGATTACGGGCCTGGCTAGCGATCTTCCCCGTTTCCCAGCCTGCGGAGGGCGGTGGGGAGGGCTGAAGGGGGAAGAATGATGGAGGAAATAGCTATTGTAAAGCGTCTAGCGCCCACTCTGTGCCGGGCTGTGTTGCAGGCCCTGGGGTAGGGTGGTGAGCAAAGGAGATGGCCCTGCCTTCATGGAGCAGCCAGTGCTGAGGAGCGGCGACTGTTGCCGGCAAAAGCCTAAATATGGTGCCATTTACACCTCGTCTCTTCTGAAATTGTAAGAAGTGTTAGAGGTTTTTATTTTAGAAGCCAGTTTACCAGGTGTGGCAACTGGCGCCACGCAGCTATCCACTTCCTTCTTTTACCTTTGCTGTAACATGCACTCCTAGGAGGTCCCCTGGGCCCACTCTCCCTCCATTCAGTGCCTTTGCTCAAGCTGGCACCTCTGGAATGCCGTTCCCACCCCCTTCACAGAGCTAACGTCACACATCCCCAAGGCAGCTCAGGGCCACTTTTAACATTACACTTTTCCTCACTTCCTTCCCCTCCAAGGTGCTGCTAAAATAGTGCATCTGTGTCATGCATGACTCACAATTTTTTGGTCTCTACCTGTTTCTCACCTTCACAAACTGAGCTTTAGAACAATCAATGTCTGATTCACTTTTATATTTCCAGTTTCCAGCATAATGCTTGGTGCATAATAGACACCCCAGTGTTTGTTGACCAAAGAATGAATGAAGAATGTAGGCAGAGGCTCACATACTCAGTAATGATCAAAGTCCAAATTGTGAGAGGTTGTTTGCATTGGGCTTGGCATGTGACTAAACTGTGATGTACTTTTTTTAAAAATTGATGTTAGAGAGACAGAGAAATATTGATTTGTTCCACTTTTTTATGCATTCATTGGTTGATTCTTCTATACGCTCTGACTAGGGATCAAACCCACAACCTTGGCACATTGGGATGATGCTCTAACCCAGGGGTGGGCAAACTTTTTTTTTTAATAATTTTTTTTAATATATTTTATTGATTTTTTACAGAGAGGAAGGGAGAGAGATAGAGAGTTAGAAACATCAATGAGAGAGAAACATCGATCAGCTGCCTCCTGCACATCTCCTACTGGGGATGTGCCCGCAACCCAGGTACATGCCCTTGACCGGAATCGAACCTGGGACCTTTCAGTCCGCAGGCTGACTCTCTATCCACTGAGCCAAACCGGTTTCGGCGGTGGGCAAACTTTTTGACTCGAGGGCCACAATGGGTTCTTAAACTGGACCGGAGGGCCGGAACAAAAGCATGGATGGAGTGTTTGTGTGAACTAATATAAATTCAAAGTAAGCATCATTACATAAAAGGGTACGGTCTTTTTTTTCGGCCCGCGGGCCGTAGTTTGCCCATGGCTGCTCTAACCAACTGAACTACTGGGACAGGGTCAAATTTTGATGTATTTTAAGTGTGAAACACAGTGGATTTCAAAATCCACTTAGTACAAAAAAAGAGAATGCAAAATATCTCTAATTATTATTTGGATTGTGTGTGAAGTGATAACATTTTGATATATTAGGTTAAGGAAAATATAGTATTAAAGTTGATTTCACTTGCTTTATTTACCTTTTTATACTTTTTTTTTTGATCCTCACCCAAGGATATTTTTCCATTAATTTTTAGAGAAAGTGGAAGAGAAAGGGAAAGACAGAGAGAAACATCCATGTGAGAGAAACACATCGATTGGCTGCCTCCTGCATGCGTCCTGACCAGGACCTGGGCCAAGGAGGATCCTGCAACCGAGGTACGTGCCCTTGACTGGAATCAAACCCGTGACCCTTCAGTTTGCAGGCTCTATCCTCTGAGCCAAACCAGCTAGGGCTATTTACTTTATAAATGTGGCTACTAAAAAAAAATTTTAAATTTCAGATTTGTTTGCATCATTTCTCTAGCAGCTCCAATCAAGAGGACGTATGTGATTCGAGTAAGAGGTGAGGCACTGTGAAATGCCTTTCCTCTGGTTCTGTCAGAATCCAAATGTTGGAACTGTTAGGGCTTTGCTTTGCAAGCTCAGCCATCCTGAGTATTGCTGGGGAATGAGGTAACCTGGAGAGTAAAGTTCAACCTAAAAATTAACATTGGACCAAAGTGTTCAGTGTCTTGTAGGAGAAACAAGAGGAATGACTGGTAATCAGAAGAGCTTCACACTTGGGAAGAGAAAGAGGAAGCCCTAGGAAGAACACAAGACTGATCTTTAGGGGACAACTCACCAAAAAGAAAAGGAATAAAAAAAATACTCAGAACAATTGTTTATGCAGCATGAATGTTCTTATTCTCCCTTCCTGCCTACTCTATTCTTCTCTCGCCACAAACTCCAACCATTTGGGTGGCTATTATCTGGGCAAGACAAACAGTGACCATGAGTTGGGCCAGTTAATTCCTTTTATTTTTAACATACAGTAAAGTTGTTTATCTTCGTGTACAGTGTATGAATGTTAGCACATGTAAGGGTTCTTTTAACCACTAACACAATGAGGATACAGAATAGTCCCATCCCCCAAAAAACTCCCTCCCCAACCCCTTTGTAGTCATACCCTTGACTCAGAGTTGTTACTCATTGCCTCAATGACATCTTGACAGACACAGTTCTTCCCGTCCTCTGCTTACTCTGTGTTGCCCAGATTAGCTTTTCTGGTGATGGCCAGAGTGGCCACCATTCTGGTGTTCCATCATATATAGCAACATTCAGCAGAAGACGGAGACTCTGTTTAGATGGAAAGTAACTGTATCCACAGCGCACTGATTCAGTGATTAGTGATGTGCAGAAATTGTGCAAAGTAATGGGGATATAGTAGTGAACTAGATACAGTCCTTGCCATGACAGATAATTGTGGGACATCTAGACAAATCAACAGGTAATGATAAATCAATGTGTTCAGTACTCTGAGAAGAAATTACTGGGTACTATGAAGCACATGAAGACACACACACACCCAGGAAGTCTTCTGAGAGTAATTGATTACTAAGCAGAGTCACTATAGGATGAATAGGAGTTAGTCAGGTGAAGGATTTGGGTTTAAAGGAGTAAGAACATGCCAGGAGAGGAATACTATGTGTGAAAGCCCAGAAGAGTGTGAGGGGATGTGGTATTTGGGAACTGAAAGGAATTTATACTGTACAGTATCTACAATGGGCACTGTACAGGAAAGCACAGAGAAGAAAGTTAAAAAAACCCCCAAAACCTCAAATTTCATCATCCAGACATAACTGAACTTCACATATTCATGAGCATCCTTCTAAACCTGTCTATAGATGTACACACATATACATATATAATTTTATAAAACAAGGTCGACTCAAATTGAGCTTTACAATTTACCTTTTAGAAAGTTAACCAGCCCTACCTGCTTTGGCTCAGTGGATAGAGCGTCAGCCTGGGGACTGAAGAGTCCCAGCTTTGAATCCAGTCAAGGGCACATGCACAGGCTGCATGCTCAATCCCCAGTAGGGGGCGTGCAGGAGGCAGCCAATCAGTGATTCTCATCATTGATGTTTCTCTCTCCCTCTCCCTCTCTCTGAAATCAATAAAAAAAATAAAAATAAAAGCTCTAAAAATAAATAAATAAAAAGTTAACCATATGCTATTGACAATTTTGGATTCTTTTTTTTTTGTTTTTTTTGTTTGTTTGTTTTTGTTTTCCAATGTATCAATGTATGTTTGTGTGAGTATATATAGAAGTTTGTGTATGAATACAGGTGTTTGTGTATGTGTGTGTGCATGCATGTGTAGCTTAATTTATTCAATTAGTCCTCTACTGAAGGACATTTAAATTGTTTTCAAAGTTTTATGATGACGAGCAAAAGTTCCAGTGAATTTTCATTATCATACATGCAGGGTGTCCCCCAAAATGTATACACATTATGAATAATTATTAATTCCAATGGGTTAAATCTGAAAAATAAAGGAACATCAATTGAGCTATCAACTGTTAAAGTGTTTTTCTGGGGTGTTTCTCAGCATCTAGAAGGGTTCAGGAATGTGGAGAAGGGCTGTGAGTAAATTAATAAAGAGACTTGACATGAAATATAAATTTGGAAGGCATTTTGGGGAGCCACAGGAGACCTAGCTTTAGTAACCAAGTTCTCTCCATCTCTGGACCCCTAGCTCTTTATTATCACAAATTGCCCTAAAGCAAAGCAGATATACCTATCAAAGGTAAGGTTTGGTATAAAGTAGGCATTGTCAAGTTGGGGGAAACTGCCTTCGGCTGTCAGGCAGCAGGTAATAATATATGCAAATCTTTAGGTTTGGGGAAATGCTTTCAGCTATTCCAGCAAGCAACAATATCATTAAGCCCTGCTGAATATAGAAGCCCATCAACCTTTTGAGGACTTCTTGCATTTTATTATGCCCTGCTGGAATTAGCTTCCAACAGTGTTTATACATTTTTTTTGGGGGGGGGGCACACCCTATATTTTTGAACTTACAATTTTTTTTTCAATTTCTTGTTTTCGATTTTTTTAAAATATATTTTTAATTTCATAGATGAAGGGAGAGGGAGAGAGAAATAGAAACATCAATGATGAGAGAGAATTATTGATTGACTGCCTCCTGCACATCCCCTACTGGGGATAAAACCCACAACGCGGGCATATGCCCTTGACCCGAGTCAAACCTGGGACCTTTTAGTCTGAGGCCGACGCTCTATCCATTGAGCCAAACTGGCTAGGGCTCTTGTTTTCAATTTTTAAAATATTTTTATTTTTGTTGATTTCAGAGAGGAAGGGAGAGGGAGATAGAAACATCAATAATCAGAGAATCATTGATCGGCTGCCTCCTGCACGCCCCACACTGGGGATGAGCCCGCAACCTGAGCATACTAGCATGCCTTGACCGGGAATCCAACTGTGAACTAAGCCACGCTGCCAGGCTTTAATTTCTTTTCTTATTTTAAAATCTATTGCCAAACCACAAGATATACAAATAGCAATCTCCTCACATCCTTACTAACAGTATGGTGTCTCGCGTTTGTTCAGACAGTAGGAATTTCAGACACAGTGGCTGGCTACGCCATTTGGCCCGTCAGCATCTCCCACAGCACACATGGAAGTAGTTTGCTGAAGACCAGCCAGCCACCACTCTCCTTTGCCAGCTGCTATAATGTCTAGTTCTCAGTGCTTTCTAGAGAGGAAAGATTGAAGCTGATGTTTCAGACTGACCAGTCTTGGCAAACGAGAGGCAGTCAGCAGAAATTGGGGGAGGAGCCATTTCTATCGCTGGCCTTGTTTCCACACTTTACTGTGGTTCCCAAGGGCAGTTCTTGCAGCTCCTTTTGGCTACAGCCTCCTTTGTGCTCGGGTCAGCCACAAGCTTTCTGACCAATGTTCTCATTCATTAAAAAAAATCGGTGAATTAACCACTGAATATCCATTGCACAGAGTGATCATAAAGCCCCCACACGTCAGCTTGTGACCCATAATTTATTTGTTTTAATATTTTTAACCTCTGCCTGCCTTGTGCCCAGCACATGGCCAGTGTCCCAAAGTCAACTGGTCCCCAGCTTGATTCTTTTTTCTTCTAATTTTTAAAAAATTGATGAGAGAGAGAGAGAGAGAGAGAGAGAGAGAGAGAGAGAGAGAGAGAGAGAGAAGCACCAATTTTTAACAAAATACATTTTATTTATTTTTTTACAGAGAGGGATAGAGTTAGAAACATCGATGAGAGAAACATCAATAAGCTGCCTCCTGCACACCTCCTACTGGGTATGTGCCCGCAACCAAGGTACATGCCCTTGACTGGAATCGAACCTGGGACCCTTGAGTCCGCAGACCGACACTCTATCCACTGAGCCAAACCGGTTAGGGCGAAGCACCAATTTTTTGTTCCACTTATTTATACATTCATTGGTTGATTCTTGTATCTGCCCTGACCGGGAATCAAGCCTACACCCTTGGTGTATTGGGATGATGCTCTAACCAACTGAGCTACCCAGCCAGTGTCCCAGCTTTTCTTGAATCAGAATAACTTCAGTTTCTTCTAACAAAATCAGAACATCCCTTAAAGAATACTATTGGGAAATAAGCATCACATACAAGCAATAACATCTATATGCCTTCATTTGTTTAACGATCAAAAGTCTTTCCAGCAGCTCACTATTAAAAACCCCAGTGAAGCTGAGTAGAGGGAAGGTTAGCAGTACCAATCTCATTCTGATAGTTCTGGTTTGAAGCCCAGCTCTTTCATATATTAATCTTGGCAAGTTACCTAATTGTTCTAGATAAGTTCTGGCTTGCGATAAGTTTCCAGTGACTATTATCTGCCATTACCATTTCTCAACAGAATGAGGTAAATGTCCCTGATCATTTACTAAGCCTATGCTCTCATTCCCTGGCTGAGATAAAGGGTTCCTAAGTCACAGACTACTGACTTAAATTGATGTGTAAAATCAAACCACTGATTTAATAAGCTTGGTGGTCTGACATTCGGAGGTGATGGGTGGAGGAACAAGTTGCCACATAGAGAAGGGACAGCTGATGGGTGAGAGGGAACTGCAGAGGCAGCAGGGTGGCTACACAGCAACAGAAAAGCAGCCTGGGTCCGTTCACTGAGGGACAAAGTGTCCTCTCTCAGTGGCCTGCCAGAGGGCATGGTTGTGGGTTTGACAGCTCTTTATAGTAATAGATGTGTATAATGATCATTAGAAACATCAATAAAAGGTCAAATATGTCTGAGTAAGCTGTTCAGCTAGGCAACGGGGTGTGTAATGTCTTTTTAAAAGACACCTGAGCTTAATTAACTTTGGAAGAGAAACCACTTAGTCTAAACTCTTTCCGGCCCAGGAGCAGCATGTTCTCCAGTTAAAAAGTATATGGTCCAAAAGGATGTTTAAAAATCAAGGACCATTCTAGGGCCAACTTGTTATTTTGTCATGTAAAGAAACCAAGAAACAAACCAACAAAAGAACCACCACCTACTGTCATTATCTTTCCAAAAAAGAAGGGGAATTTCAATGTCAGAAAAAGTCTGAAGGTCACAGACTTGGTATAAAGGGCAACCCTTCGAACTGAGAGCATGAGGCACTGAGAAACACTGGGAGCGTTTCACAGCTTTTCTGACTGTGTTGTGACTTTGGGGAGCATGGTTGTGGACCAACCAAATGGGCCTGGAGTTCAGAAAGTGCTGCACTCTAAAGCTGTGGTTCTCAAAGTGCGGGCACCGGGCCAGCCCCAGCAGCAGCTCGAGAACTGGTTGGAGATGCAAACTCTCAGCCCCGCTGCCCCCCAAGCAAGCATTCTGGA